TTTCCATCCGAGTAGTTCACACATGGGCCGAAGCTTCAGGGCGCTTCATTTGCTCTATTGCACCATCAGGTGGACAATAAATGTAAAGCAGGTGATGAGTCAAAGGACAGTGTGGCTTCACTGTGTGAAGCTCTGACAAAATTTGTGCGTAAGTGATTATGCTAATAAACAAAAACATGCTTGTGCTACTTGTGTTTGGGGGGGACATGTATTCATTTTTATTTAAGAATAGCAACTTTTCAACAGTGCTTGGCTTCAGGCGGTTTCCTTTTATTGAGATTGTTTCACCTGCTTTTGAAAATCCAATTTCTTTGGAACACAACAAACACTTCACCTTTTAAAATGCCAGAATGTGAAAGATGGTGATTAGCACAAAGGTTATGCAATGCAATATTCCATTTCTATTTATTTATAATATTTAATCACACGATTGTTATTCTGTGCCCAACTTATTAGGAGAGATCAGCTCAAAATGCTCCCAGATAGAAGAAAATCTCCTCTCTTGCTGGCTCCATGACAAAAAGGTAGCTAGCTATGAATAATAGGTTCGCACAATAAGGTCCCAAATCCACAAAATGTGAGGGCAGAGCCATTGCATTTTATTGGCACGCGCGAAGCCCCGAACGCTTCCTGAACCAGTCACATGGTGCGGCCAGTTCGTGGGGCCTCGAATGTCACTAACACACACCATCGATCACAAAAATCCTCCTAAATTACTCAACACATGCTTCGAAGTCTCGACACAGAAGGACACATCACTAGAATTTAGTATTGTTTTTGGAACTTTGTTACTTTTTGGGTGAAATAAAACCCTGTTTTGAATTCACCTGTGAGCCCTTGTACTTTGCAGCTCGGTCTTTGACGTGATCTTTTGCACAATAAAATTTAAGGCTATGTTAGAATGATAATATCTTAGGAACATTTAAAGATTAAAGCCTGAAATTATTAGTATTATTTCTCATTGTGCCATCAGTTCAGAATTTGCAATATTAGACAAGTANCCCTCTTTTGTGTCTTTCATTCGGAGAAGTAACCTCTATAAAAGAGCGGATGGAACTTATTCAAATCAATGATGAATGAATGAATTTAAAAACTCCTGGACTTTCATAGGTCATGTGTGCTTCAGCAAGAACTCACTTCCTATTTTGGGAGAAAAGCAGAACCAGTGCTAAAAAAAAAAAAAAAAAAAAACGTCTAAGGATAGAACACTGGGAAACCAGCAAAGATGCCGGTCAACATCTCCAATATGATAAAACAAAACAAAAAGAATAATCAAAAAATATGCTTTGTTTTGCATTTTTGTCACCTAAACTTTGTAAACCAACACATTTCAAAAATATTTTAGTTGAGCTGCATTATGATTTTTTGTTAATATGTGCTCAACGATGAGACTTGTAATGAGAGCTTCATTTTTTTTTTTTTAAATCATATTTCAACACACCCATAATAATAAGACGTTTTTGGACCTACTTGCCCAATTTTTCAGACTCTGAATCAAGATTTATTATTATAGTTACTTTTTAATACAGCCATTACCAGAGACTATTTGATCTATGTGTCCAATACTGCAGATTCTGAATCAATCGTATGATGAGAAATAACTGTGGAAATTTTAGGTTTTTATCTTTAAGAGTTCCTGAGAAATTGCCCTCCAAATCTGGCCTTATGTCTCAATGAAAATAGTATCTAAATAACAATGTAGAAATTCACAGATGCCATTTGGAATTTATTATGATGAAAAGTTTCAAGCAAATTGGAGATAGTCGTGCAGAAGGCCACTGTTTTTTTAGTTTTTGTGTGTCACCCCAAGATTTTCCATTGAAATAGAATCATCAGCTCTGAT